ACTTCACCCTGTTACTTGAAAAAACATAACTACAAAAAAGCCTATTTTTTCTGTACAGTTAGGCCATACTTTCTCATTGGCTCTGTCACTAATTCCAGTCTTCCCAACATTATTTATAGCAATTCTGACTCACCCTTTCCTCATTTTTTTTTCCTTCAAAAAGGCCATATAAACACCCTCTCATTTTTTTCTGTTGCATGGTGAGCTATGTCCATATGCTCAGTTGCCACGTTTGTGCAAGCTCTGTTGTTTGCTGAGAATTCAGGTTTTGTAGCGCTCCCTTACTGTTCTTCTTTTGGGTCTATCTGCTTGCTAATAAGTCATTATATCTCCCTCAAACATTCATTAGATAGATGGTTGCCAACATTTCATACTGTACATTTTCTCAATGGCTGTATGCAGAAAGTGTCTTCTAAAGCTGAATTGTGGGAACTCTCCACACAAGTGCTGCAGATCCAGCTGGCATCCAAGCCATGTGCAAACAGATTGGCTTCCTCTTCCAAAGGCTATTCTGTTTCAGACTTTGTCCTTCTCCATCTATGCTGCTTTCTATATCTAGGTCCTTTTAGTAAAGAATGCTTTATACTCAGCTTTCAGGTGCTTTATTGTAGGGAAGTGCAGTTGGTACAGACATTGATCCTTGGTTTTTCATGATGCTAGCTCTAGTACATCAATAAGTGCTTTCAAAATTAGGCTCAAGCTTTATAATGGACATTAGAAGATCCAGAGATATGGCACCGAGGGGAAACGCTTTTGGAGTTAGATCTGAAAAGAAAATAGGAAGCAGCATGTTGTAGCAAGAGGATTTTACGCTTTGCCTTCTGATTTCTTTTTGCTTAAAATGAGGCATGGTAATCCAGTTTGTAGGTGCCTGATACATTGACCATACCAGTCAGATTTTCATATGTGGGGAGGAACAAGCCAGAGGAGAAATAATAAGTTTTTGAAAGCATATGCTGCTGAAAGCACATGCATCCAAGTTTTTTGAAGAGTCAAAGAAGACCTAGAATTTCAACCCAACTGTGGAGAGAATGGCTGTTTCCTATCATGAAAAGGTGGAGGTCTTCAATGTATTTCCCTTTGCAAAGAAGCATCACTTTGGTCTTGTCTGGATTCAGTTTGATTCATCTGTTTTTCATTTAAGAGCTAATTTCCTGTAGTTATTCTGATGTTTTATAGTGATGATAGTTGCATCGGAAAATGAGATAAATAGTAGATTGTCAGCAACATACTGTTAGCAATTGAACACATGGCATATCACTCTCTCTCTCAGCAGTCCCATGCAGATAGATGGAGATTGTATGCATCCCTGTGGTACCCTGCAGGTGAGGACCTTGGAGGAAGAGGCTTGTATCCACCACCTTTTTTTGAATGATGTCTAAAACACAAGATGCAATACTACTGTGTTGCAGGGACTGTATAATAAAGGATTCAGGTGTCCAAGAACAGGAATCTGGAGATTACAGTTCCATGGTTTGTGGCAGTTTTACAAATTCCTCCCGGAAGTTGTCAGAATTTCCATCTGTAGTTTATGTACCACTAGGAGCCCTGGTTCCTCTAGTGCTTTGCTTCACAGTGCATATGGATCTACTCAAAAGTTTTAATTTCTTGCTGGAACATCTTATGCATCTGACACTGAGACCACAGTGATTCCTCAGTGTTTTCTTTGCCCCCCCCTTTTTTTTTTTTTTTTAAATAAACTTCTGGTATTTATCTTGGCCTGTTACTTTTGGTGTTCTGGTGTCTGTCTTGGCTCTTCTGAAGTGTAGCTGTGCTAGGATAAGGTTAAGATGGTATTGAATTATGTCTCAGTGATGCAAAAATGTCCAGGTGTTTCATCTTTAAGGATAGTGAAGTTGTATTTTATTTTTTTTCTCCTGAGGGGAAACTTGGCATTCAGTGGCAAGAATTGCAAATAGATTTTTCTTATCCTTTGTTTAATGATGTCACTGTCTAAGCAATTGGCTGCAAATAAAAGCTTGGGGTGTTTATTCTAATGTGTGTGGGAGGATGACTTCTCACCCTAATGATACCAAAGACTTAGAAGGGTAACATATAATGACAGGCAAGGTTTTGGGCAGCCTGGTTCCCCTGTTTTTTAAGATTCACATGACATAGAAGCATTGTACAGTGTAATCTCTATGATGGGAATGCTTGGCCTTTGCACAGATCATAGCAGCAGGCAAGTACTGTTGGAGTGACAGTCTGTTGTCTGAATACTGGGGTGGTGTTTTGTACAATTTTTAAGAACTCTTCCACTGACATGAAAAAGCAGCAGACTGTTACAGGGTGGCATACCCCAGAGATGGGAAACTAATGGCATGGGTACTCATCTATGGGTTATCCAGCAAAATGCCTAAGGCTTTGAACAGCTTATCTACTTAGTTTTGATTAATTTTCATTTCTGGAGACACATTTTCTGCACCTAACATGGAAACCACATGAACCTTCCTTTTCTTATCATTAAATAGTCAGAGGGACTGTGCATATCAGGATGATACTGATAGTTTTTTCAAGACTATTGATAATATCCCATGCTACTGATAGTAGTTAAATATAAAGATTAATTGACATCCTTCGGTTTTGATGTTTTGTATAACGTAATTTGGTAGGACTCAGTCATGGAGTGTCCTGGGTTCAGCAGCAGTAGCCATTTTTCTCCTTCTTAGTAGCTGGTGCAGTTCTGTGTTTTTCACTTTTAGCCTGAGAACAGTGCTGATAACACCGATATTTTTAGTTGTTGCTCAGTAATGTTTACTCTGACCAAGGACTTTCTGAGTCTCATGCTTTGCCAGGGAGGAGGGGAAGTCAGGAGGAAAAATAAACAGGACACCTGACCCAAACTAGCCAAAGGGGTATTACGTACCACAGCACGTCATGCCCAGTATATAAACTGGGAGCAGTTACCCGGAAGGGCTAGATCACTGCTCGTTTGGGCTGGGTATTGGTCAGTGGGTGGTGAGCGGTTGTATTCTCTCCCCTTGTTATTTCCCTTATCATTATTATTACTGGTGGTAGCAGTAGTGATTTGTGTTATACCTTAGTTACCGGACTGTTCTTATCTCAAACCTTGGGAGTTACATTCTTTCGATTCTCCTCCCCATCCCTCTGGGAGCAGGGGAGAGCAAGCGGCTGTGTGGTTCTGAGTTACCTGCTGGGCTTAAACCACAACATGGAGACAGATGCTTTGCATGTCAGGTGAAGGTGTCTGGATGGCAATTCTGAAGGTAACCACAGAAAAGATTAATGTTTTCAAAATATGGGTGAGCCTTACCTGGCAAATGATATACAGATGCCGTATATTCAAATCCCTATATTCAGATTCTTTCACTGCAGGCAGGGTAGTTGAAATGCAAATATTATAACAGAAGCCTATATGTATTAAAGCCAAAATTTTAAGAAATTAACTCATTAAGAAGTAATTTTGCATTACCAGACATCAACTATACTTGGCCAATCTCTGTCTACTGTGGACTGGAAACAGTGTAGTCAGCGCAGTTCTAATGCCAGTGATTTGTTTTCACACAGTATGTATACATGGATACCTATGCATTATCTGCATTGCCAAATCAGATGAAAAAAAATAGTGTAGAACTGGCATGAATTAATTTGTCTGCTCTGCAGGTTTATTTGTGGCTGTTCAAAGAGCCATCCTATTTCACTTATTTCAGTGATTTATCAAGTTTATCCTCCTGCCCCCGACTTTTATCTGAAAGCATTTTGGTCTACTAAGCTGTGATAGGCTCAGGTTGTGGTGCAGTTTCTTTCTAAAGAGTGTTATACTGTCATGGCTTGCATCAATATATGTGTGGTTATAGAGCAAGACATTGTCATTAGAGCTGGATGAACAATTTATTATTAATATAATTCATTAAGGATAAGTAAAGGTTTAGATGGAGCATGGGATAATGTGTGAATGAATATGTTGCCTCCTTGACTGCATAAGAGAAGCATTATTCTTCCCTTGTTCTCTTATTTCTCTGCTGATTAACACAAAGGAAGAGAAAAACCATGAATCCTTCATCTTTTCCTCCAGGTAGGTAGGTCAGGAAGAAACATTTGCTTCGCTCTGTTTTAATAAATCATTGTCAGAATAGGTTCCTTATGACTACATGAAAGCCGGAGAGCTCATTTCTTAATCCCCTGGGTATCAGCAGATATGCAGATGTGTGCAGAGGAGTGCAGTCCAATGCATATGCCTTCGTTATGCTTACTAAGACATTGTGAGTAATACTGGTTTTCCTTACTTTTATGTATTCATTATAAAATTTAAAGAAACTAATACTGAACTTCACAAACTGCTGTCATATCTAGCTCCCCATAGAAAACCTCTACTATTTAGTGAGTGGGGGAAATACTGTTGAAATCACAAGACTTGTATTTCTCTAGATGTTTCCTGTGGCTGGTAAAATGGTGTAAGAAACTTCAAACACAGGAATAAACACTCACAAGACTCATAGAAGAAGAAAAATTAAAAAATTTACACCAATTGCCTGGAACCTTGTAAACAACAAAAAATGCAACCTTAAAGATAAAGTGTTTTCATAAAAAACAATTTGTTTGGTTTATTTAGTCATCTATGTAGGATGTTATGTGCACCCCACACATGCATGAACACACACACGCTAAGTTTTTAGTTGCATATTTGAAAGAGTTTTAAGGAAAATGTATCCTATTTACTGCTTAGCTATGTGACCAATGCAGAACTGTAATACAAATCTCAGACTTTTCCATCCCAATGTTTTTTATTACTGAAGAAAATAGATCAGGATGATAACAGTTGGATGCAAAGAGCCGTCATATTTTCAGTATAAAAATAGTGCTACTGTTTAGTAAGCTATACTACTTAAAGTTATTAGGGGGATGTACTGACTTGCTCAGGATGTTTTTATTCTTTTTCCTTAAAAATATCTTTTGTTTCCACACCCCACTAAGAAGGAAGGAACGTTTCCCATTAAGATATGACATGAGTTTGTTTTTCACTTTTGCCTTTTATATAGGGATACTGAATATAAAGGACTACAGCTCTCCCTGGATCAGGTCACTGCTACCAAGCCGGCATTCTCATACGCAAATTCAACTCCAACCATAACGGATAATAGAAAGGGAAGCAAATCTCGCCTCTCGAGCACAAAGTCAAAATCAAGGACATCACCATACCCACAGGTAGTTGTCTTTGAAAAACAAAATTGAATCTTTTTTAATATCTTGATTTTGACTGCTATTTTACCTCAGTAATTATAATGGCACACAGGACTTGTTACTCAAAGGGAGTAAAGAACCACAGGTTATAAGATCTTGAGACAGAAATATGTTTCTTTGTTTCAAAAGAGCTAGAAACATTCATGTTTCAGCATGCATAATAAATCATCATCAACAACAATAAGCACAGGTGTTAGAGTTAATGAGGAGCGGACAGAAGGACATGTGAAAATGCTGATTTTGAAAAGCTTGGTTTGCGAGGATTTTGAGTTTTGCTGTTTGAGAAATCTTGCTTTTTCTTACTCACTCTTTAATAATTCCAACCATTCTAGAAAGCTGCCAGATGTCTGACAGCAGTATAGTATAGAAATCTTTGTCAGAAGGAGTGAGTTTTGAGAAGGGAAAGCAACAGGCTAACTTGCTGAGCTGGAACAAGAAAACTTTCCTACGTACAAAGCTTTGAAAGGGTGAAAGCGCTAGGAGGTGTCAAAAAGCTTTGAAAGGGTGAAAGCGCTACTGGTGTCAGTAGACTCTAATTTCCCAGATTTCGTTTTCTGTGTAAGGAATACGTCCCTGCTTGGAGAATGGACCAGACTTGACTGGATCTGTAAACTGGAGCTTAAACTAATGCATATGCACAAATGATTTCTGCAGACAGTGCCATAGCACTTGCATACATTGTCAACTTTTCTGCTCAAATAAGCCTGTTTGTTGAAATAACCATTGTTTACTAATGATGCCAGCCTTACTGTCCTTATGCCACCACACAGTAGATATAAATGTATGCATTCATGATGTCACATCAAAGACCTATGTACTTTTTAAAGAGTCCAAGGTCAATATTTAATTGATAATGACCTTGATGACTACAGTTTCTCTGCAGGTACAATATGTTCAAAACTGAGCTCTAAGGGTGTACAGTGCGTCTACCTATCTTCCTTGTTTTCTTTCTTTTTACCCTCAAAAGTACCAAGGGTAAGAATTTCAGTTAAATGACATCTGCCTTTGGCACAGGGAATATTTAAATGAGCTCCTAGATATGAACTCAGATTCTTAATTTTAAGAATATAATTTTGCCAGAGGTTGCTATGGCTCTTGTTGATTAATCATTTGTTCATACGGACTTCTGTGGGTTGTTCAAGAAGACCCTTTCTTTTGAATGCACTACACCAAACAACTGTAATAAAACTGCTATAAAGAACTGGGAGAGATATGTACAATTATCTCTAAATTAGATTTTTAAAATGACTATCATTGATTTACTGAAATTATCCTTCATCTCCCTTTACTCAATTCTGTCAGAAGTCATTTGCTAACAGGACAATCCCAACTGAAGATCCGTTATTCTCCCACATTGATCTGGTTTCTGAAAGTGTGACTTTCATCAGTATCTCCTTGTCCTCTCTGTCACCAGAAAAAATCCTGAACGGACAGTGCAGTGTTGAGACTGTTGTTTTATCAGGGATTGTGGTCTGAAAGCTCAGGATGTTTAGTTCCAGTTTCATTTTCATTGCCAGCTGTCTGGTAGTAAAGTCACAGATTTCACCATCCAAAAAGAAGCAGTGTGATAGTTGCCAGTATCTTGAAAAATAGTCATACCATTCATTGTAGCATATCACCACAAGCAACACTGGCAGCTTGGCTTCACATCCCTCTCATCTGTTCCTACCACTGAATAAGCTGTTGAAAGAGTAAGTAAAGCTCTTGTGAAGACCATGCAGCAGGTGGTATGGCCTGTGTCCCTCAGTCTCAAGCCCACGTAATCTGCCAGTTAGTTGTGGAGAATGAGCGTGTGACTCAAAAGCCACACCTGAAAACTGAGCCTGCAGATTTTGGCTTACACAGGAGTCTGGGTTTTGGTAAGGGAAGGAAGCAGGAAGTTTATTAGTAAAATAATGTCAGTGGGCAAATTATTCCTTAAAATTAAGGGCACCTAGGAGATTTTAAATGTACGTACTTTCATTCCTTCTTTTTTTTCTCTCTTTTTTTAAAATTTATTTTTTCTTTTCTTCTTTTTTTCCCTTGTTTTTCTCTTGTCCTTGCCACTTACTTTATTTCACTTTTGAAGAGAAAAGGGGGTCATATGCTTAACTGGGTGATAACTTAGAATCCTCTGCCTTGCCAGTGTGTGCCCCTAGGAAAGCAACATGAGATATGATCTGATTGAAAACTATGTCAAAAATTTCAGCAGAATGTTTACTACTAGGGTGAAAGATGGATGGTTTGGTCACCTAAGATAGTGTTAATGTTTCTGTTTTTCCTCAAGTCTTATGCAGAGGCAGACATAGTGCAGTATGGCCCTTGACTCTTCAAGAAAAATTGAGTTAATTAAATTAGAGGCATTGATCAGCATCTGATTAACACTGACATTACTACAGTGGGCTAGTGGATTCTATGAAACCAGTTTCAGACTGGGGAAAGGCAAGCAGAGAGAAGTGCAAATTCATGACACAGCTGTAGGATTTGCCCAGACACTTTTAACAGTGATCTTCTAGCCCTGTCCTACTAGAGGTGGAGAGCTCAGAGGAGGTGAAAAACCAGGAGAGAAGACGATAGAGATTTACAGAGAGAGGAAATTGTGAGTTGTTTAAAAGATGTCTGTAATCTTTCCCCATAATAGTAATCATTGTGAGGAGCTTCTAAGATCTAGCCCTGGACCTCATTTATGTTGTGTTTCCAAAAAGCTATCCCTGGACCTCATTTATTTTGTACACAGGAAATAGCAACAAGATTGGAAAAACATTTTAATTGTGATCATCTGAACAACTGCTTTGGAGTTTAATCTTCCATTAATGATGATTGTTTAAAGAAAATGTTCAAAACTGTTTCTTGCCTGCCTCTAATGAAAATACTTTGTGGTCAGATATGGATACACATTTACTGCTTCACATCTCATTTTAGTTATTGGATAAAGATTATACATATGTAAAATGAAGTCACATATACAAGTAACGAGGTACCTAAGAGCTGTTGAATGAAGGCTTTGGTATGTGTTACAGCATGCATGAATTTTTGGAAGTAAAAGCTTTCTCTAGTAGATGTATGTAAATGCACTTGATTTTGGAGGTAAATTGATTTTATAACTCCTACAAACAGATAATCCACCTCTATTTGACCATATAACTCAATGGGTTAAAGATAACAGAATCAGACTGAATCTGTAAGCCTTAGCCTTTGTTTTGTTTTCATTTCTTCCTGTAGCCTAAAGCTTTGACAACTTCCAGTGTATTCAAAGGCAAAGCAAACCTCTCTTTATAGTAAACATAACTCCTGATCTGGTGAAGAGTCACCAGCAGTAGGGGTTATTTTAATGGACATGCTGTATTACTTTAATCTAAGCCTTTCACCATCTGTTCTGCCTATAATAGCGAATATAAAAAGAACATATTTTACATTTCAGGATTACATTAGGAAAAAGTAAGATAAAAGTGATTTAAAAGCATGCGTATGTTCTTAGTAGAATGTAGCCTGCATCTGAGATGTTTTTTCTCATGGTTAAGACACAACTCAAGAGGAAAGCTGCTAATGATGATACAGTGAAAGTTTTTCATGGAAAAGAGGACTCTGAGAGGGTTTCACTATATATTTAATGTTTATGATGATAAAAACCTGAGTAGGCTGCCTGAAAATTAGAAATCTATAACTTCTATTGTTTGAACATCTGGAATGGTGTGTGGAGCAGGCTGATGTTGCTGCGTATGACAGGATGAGTGCTTAGGCTAGTGAGACACCTGTAGGAATGGAAGGTCAGGGAAAAGAAAATCGCCCACAAAATATTGTCTACTGGCCTGATACACTTCCATGGACTCTCATAAAATAAGCTTTTCTCTGACATGGAATTTATGTTTTCCTATTTCCTTGCCTGTTCAGCCCTCCTGAACTTTTTTTTTTTCATGTGGAAATAGCATCAGGGTTGGCCTATAGCCCCTTCCTGTGTCAGTGCTAATCCTACCTGTATGTTCTCACTGCAGTGGTACACTGGATTAGTGCTCTGAAAGACATTACTTGTATCTAGAGGTGGCAATTCAATTTTCAGAAAACAGCTGGAGGACCATTTACTTTATTTATTGTTGTTATTTATGCCAGAAGACAATTCAGAAATCACCTGAAGGGATTTCAGGTTTTGCCTGTCTGAAGTTCTTTATCATATTTAACTTCTGTGTGCTGTCAAGAACCCAAAAATAATAAATTCTGCCTGAGAGGAGTCAGAACCCAAAACTAGCAGGAAGGAGAGCATTTCTGGTGAGGCAGGATGTGGATCGAAAGACAAACCCACCAACTAATTTTAATTTGCCATAATTTCCATTAAATCTGATTCCACTTTCTATGATCTTTCATCACTTGACATATGGAAGCCTAATTCTGACTTGAGAGATAGTGTTTCCACTCCCATTTCAGTAAAGCAGTATCTTTGATCATCCTTTCATTTCTCTGCTCATCAACATATCACACATACCCATATTTGGAGTCTCCACCTGTCAACATCAGATTCCCAGAAGAGGCAGTGGCAGGACAGCAGCAGGAGAGGCAGCATAATGATGCCAAATAGAGATGTGATAGCTTCAAAGGGAATAAGACGTATTTTTGGCCTATGTCTGCTTATGTTGTACCTTAAGAGTAAGCAGTCATAACAGGCCTTGGCAGAAAATATGGGCCAGAAACAATTCATTGGGTTGATTTAAGTCAGTCTGTGGCCTAGCAGCTGTTATGGGTCAGATCTCAAATAATCATCATTTACATCAAGTGCAAAGAATATGCATGAAATATTGACTACATGGTTATCTGACATTACATGATTTGTTTCTGATGTACTGACCATATACCCTTTGAAAGGATGTCCTTTTCTTTCAGAAAAGTGCACAAAGTGCTGTGCAATTGAATCATTTGAATCATTAGACTCAAAATTAAAAACAAAAAAAGAAAGAAGAGCAAATTTTCAGTTACACAGAGAAATTCCCTGCAAGAGAAGCTATGCTGCACTCTGAATGGTCCTTAGAGAATAGAAGAATATATATTAGAGCTAAGCGAAATTAAGAATTTTCAGTTCTGACATTTATTATCATCATGAATTGTCCAATAAAAGAAGTTCCATTATAATATTATTAGAAATTAATTTTACTTGTACTCCTCATGACAGATATGCATACTATGAATTTTGTTTTTAATAAAAAAATAAATGAAATTTTAACTTTTTTTATACTTATATTTATGCTTATGTTATATTTAAGCTTAACTTTAAAAGTTAAAAAGTCTGGTTTCTAAAAGTAAAATTTAAAAGGCACTAAAAGTAATTCTAAAATTAAGAACAGGCACAAAAGTAGTTTTAATTTTGTGAATTTCCATTGTAACTATTTTAATAGCCAAAATTTCTATTTTTTTAATTGGAAACTTAATTCATCTCTATATTTTTTACAAAAAGTTGACAATATTTCAGTCAGTAATTGCAAAAGTATTTTTGTGAGTAAGCAGTTTGAAGACATTAGAACTGAAAGGGTAATAGAAGAGTCAAATGTTTCAGTTGTTTACATGTAAGTGTGATGGTTGAATAAAATTCCTAGTTAAAGTATGCCAAATTACTGACATTTAAAAGAACTCTTTTGTGGTTCTCTCTTAACTCCATGCAAAATCAGGTTTATCCTTTCTTTTCTAAAACCTTCCAATGAATATGCTATGTTAACTTGCTGATCTCCATATCTACTGATAGGCTTTTGCCTACAGGTATTTTTCTGACAGTTAATAAAATATAATCGAGCTCCTCAAAGCCATGACCCTTTCTTTCTTTCTTTTAAATAACCTATTGTATTAACAAACAGTGTTCACAAATACAAACTGGAATACTGAAGAAATACCTAATTAAATGTAAAAACTGCTGCTGATGTTGCGCAGATGGTTTGACTTTCTGTGAGTCAAACATCTGGTCAGTACTTTCGATTGGTAAGTGCATAAAACCTTGATCTTGGCTGATAATGAGGAGTTTCATATTAACTCAATCTAATGAAAAGGAAGGTAAGCTTATGTTCTCAAGAGAGAGTCCTAATGCCTGTTAGAAGAAAAGGCAGAGTGGGCAGGCCTCTGGAAGGTGATGGAATAGGAGAATTCCAAGGTTTCATGCTGTAATACATTGATTTGTGACATGAGTGTGCTGTACTGAAGTGATGAGCATGTACAGCTTTAGTCTCATCCCAATCCATAATCATGGATGAAATTGATTTAAAGATGTTCCATGAAGTTCAGCAGTTCCAATAAACAAAAAGATTTAAAAATGAGACAGCTAAATCCTAGGAGGTTTAATAAGCATTCCTTTTTTTTTTTTTTCCCCAAAGTATCTGAAAGTTTGAAACATTCGTTATGAATACCTAGAAATCTTGGGACATTTAATTTAACCCTTACTTCTCTTTAAACAAATGCCCATGCTCCTATTCTGTCTGATTTTCCAACTGCTTGCTAGTTGCTGCTTCTGTGTTGGGAGGGCCCCGCTTAAGCAAAAGTGTCAAATGCCTGCTCTGCCTGCTTTGGCTAGCAGTTATTTTTTCTGGCAAATAGTTTCGGATTTTTCTTGCTCCCACATTGCAATAGAGCTGTGATTTTCAACTTCCTACCCAAGTGCCGTCACTTCAGAGCTTTACTCCATAGTAGTGTTGGTGTAAGTCTCAGGGTCTACAGGAGGCTTTGTTTTTGCTACTAATAAGAGGAAAGAAGTTCAAAGATACCACTCCAGGTAAAAAAAAAAAAAATAAAAAAAATCCAACAACAAACAGAACATGAGGAAAAGAGAGGGAACCCTTAGAAAAACAGCTTCAAATACATTCACTTTCAATTTGAATGTGAGAGTGCTCCAGAAGTGGTGTTACTTCAGTCCATTTTTTGGGAGAACTCCATTGGGGAGCCATTGCCGAGAATAAGCACTAGCTTTCAAAGCAATAAGAAAAACCTGGATGTATTAAAAAAATATTGAATTGCAACATTGATGTTGCTGAGTCTAATATTACACATCATAAAGGAGGTGGCTATTAAGGGTTGGCATGGAATGCTTTAGACTTTCATGACGTCTGTCCTGTAATCTGTGAGCTCATTACAGACTGTTGTACAGGAAAGGACTAGGAGTCCAATCAGAAGGTGCAGACATGTGGGTACGCTCACAAAAAACACCCTATCACAGACATACTCTGTCTTTTCAGTGCAGTTACCTGCAGATTTCACCCAGGCATATCTTCTTACTGCTGCTTCTCCTGTTTTGCAGTATTCTGGATTTCACACTGAGAGATCTGAGTCTGACCATGAGAGCCAGTGGGGTGGAAGCCCCCTGACAGACACAGCTTCTCCCCAGCTACTGGAGCCCTCAGACAGACCGAGCTCCCAGCACCATGATGTCTCCTGTGCCTACAGACAGTACTCAGACCGCAGTGCTCTCTGCTATGGTTTTGCACTTGACCACTCCCGGCTGACTGATGACAGACATTTCCATACTCAGGCCTGTGAAGGAGGCAGATGTGAAGCTGGCCGGTATTTCCTTGGCACGCCGCAGCCAGGAAGGGAGAGCTGGTGGGGTTCTCGTTCAGCATTGCCTCTGACTAAGTCATCCCCTGAGAGCAGAGAAGCGTATGAAAACAGTATGCCCCACATAACATCAGTGCACAGGATTCATGGTAAGAGATGACAAGGATTTTCAGGACTGGGACCATTTCAGACAAAGCAATGTGACATAAACATGAAACTGTTTGTGTGGGAGAGAAAATGTGAGAGAATCTTGATTTATGTCCTTGTCTCAGAGATTGCATCTATGGAGATGAGGAATACTTAAAGTTCAAGTTGATTGTTTAACAGTCTGGCTTATATGCACCAAAATAAAATTTTGTGGTATATTTTTTTAATGTGTGAAATTCAGGTGGAAATATCTGACTGGTGAGATTTCAAGGATGATCTTAAAGATATAAGCAAAACGATACACTTCATAGAAATGTGTTACTTGTTTGACTTGAGATCAAACTGCTTTGGTTGGAATCTATCTAGCAAAAAATCAGAGGTAAATCCAAGCCATATATTAAAAATATCTCTACAGTCTTTGGAGAAATTGTTCTCCAAATGACTTATCTCTCTGCACTGTTTATTACTCGATTCACTATGATTTGCTGTTTGTTTTTATTTAAAATTAACAATTCAAATTAACATTTGCTTTTGATTTCAGACATTTGTCCCCAGCTATAATTTTTGGGCAGTTTGAGTCTCTCCATCCTTTCAACACTAAGCCTAACGCCTTGCTTGGTGTCTGGCAGGTTGCAAACAGTGCATTGGCACATCTTCAGAGGCTGAATCTAATAAAAAATATCACAATGAAAGACTGATCTTGGGTTTGGAAAATCCATAGGACCTAGGGATTAAAAGGTAGACTGAGAGTTGAAGGAATGCAACTGACCCAAAAGTCAGAGTTCAAGGTTGTAAGGATAGATGCATCATTTAAAAAAATAAATAAATGAAAACTACTAAAGTAATATGTTAAAATATAGTTTGTATCTAAAGAACTCTTAAAAGCTAATTATGCTATTGCAAGCCACTAGCATTGGCTTGCAGAATAAGGCTTTGGAAAGGAAAGAGAACAGTACTATTTTACTCCGATGTGCGGAAAATTATGTCGATATCAGAAAAAATGATTAATTAGCAAGTTCTAAGAAATACAGTCAGAGGAAAAATGAGGAATGAAAAGAAACCCTAAATTTTGTTGATGAGGGCTATTCTCCACTTTTCCTTTGAGAAGACACCTCCTTCCTTGTGTCTGTTCTGTACTTTTGTCATACATATTTTTTTCTAGATTTTTCTTCTGAAAAAAAGAAAATTGACTGAAGTATGATAATTTTTCCAGCAAATTTTACACATAATAATTCTTGCTGAGAATAGAAATGTAATAACATAGAAATACCATATGGAGGTGCAAACACAAAAATGTTAAATATTTATTCCATAGCTTTATCAAGCATCAACAGTGCAAATGGATAGTATAACCTGATTTTATTTTGTTTATTGGTTTTGCTGTAATTCCAGATGATCCAGTTATTTTCTTAGGCCTTCAGTTTGCATGTAGCTTTGGGGTAAAACCTGACCTGTTGGTCTTAGTTGAGGAGAAGAAAAATCTCAGCTTGCCTTGTACATGTGCCATTTTTATTTAGATTTAGACAGTTTCTAACCTTGGCCTTTCACAAATGAAACTTTTTGACAATACTGTATGAACATTGCTGTCTGGGTAGTTTCATTCAGCAGAAAATATTTTCTTCCTTTTCTGTCTTTCAATGTGTCTTATGGTAGTTCTGGATCAGAGTCACCTTACAATTAGCTGACCAGTATGGCAGGCCTTGGAGGTTGCGTACGAACCTATGTGTTTCTGGTCATACTCAGGAAGTCTGGGACACTGCATATGTGGTCTGTGCAGTGAAACAAACAGCACTGGGTTTAGAGCAGTGGCTGACCAGCTCCCCATTGTACTGGACATACTACATGTTCTGGTGGGTGGAGCAACCTTCCTCCTCCAGGCCCTGCCATTTTGGGTCCAGATCTTAAGAAGATGTGAAGGATAAATTTATGCTTATAAGAAACTCCACAGTGCAGTACTTCCACTGACAAATGGCAGGATATGTTTATTATACATGCCCACCACTGATTTTTGTCATGAACTCTGCAACACAGCAGCAGTGGTCTGCCACCCAAGCAGATCTGTATGCCTTGACCCAACACAGAGCAGGGAGAAATACTTGTGCTGGTCTGAAAATGGACTCTGAGGACTCCTGTCAACCAACCCAAAGCGTCTTATCCCCAAACAAGACTTTGTATGTGCTGAGGCAAAGGCATGGTTAAGTAATTTGTGCAAGTCTAAGACGTGCTCTTCTGCAGGCACATGTCTCAGTGAATCCTTCATCAAACCCTTTATTGTAATGTGGCCTTAGTTGGCTGTTCAGGTTTGGGGGTCACTCAACTTCTTCCTAGTGAGTATTGACAGGTCTGATTCTGTCCTTTCAGCAACATGCAAACTGAACACCTTTTCTGATATGTCCGTGGGCCTTATTTTTTAAAAAGAGGTAAGAATATAGTTAAATTTTCCCATTTTAAAAGTTTTATACAGCAAATATTTATGAGTTGAGATATGATATCACATTTTTATAATAACCCTAACAACTGTCTAACAGTTCTTGTACTTCTAAACAAGAACTGTTTCATTACTTGTGTTTATTTATTGTTGTGTAACCTGTGTAAAGTCACTACATAACCACAAACTATTCTGCAAATTCTCTATGTCTCAGTTTCTGGAAAGGCCTTAGAAGACATGTTGGAATGATGTGGATTTGTAATTCCTTGAGATTTTTGTGTTCACCAAGGTCCAAATTCACTCACACTTTATTAATGCAAAGAGACAGCAAGGGGTCAGGAACCTGAACATCAGTGTTGAGGGCATGTTGACATGCCCTAGGTACCCTGCCTGGCCTCTAGCTGCTTCAGAATATACAGAGGTTCTGCAGTGTTGGTGCCAAGCGCTTGGTTGCACTGAATCGACTCAGGTAGCACTAGGTGTTTGTGTTGAGGTGCTTAGATCTCCTTGTATATTTTCAGTTGTGTTACTCATTCCATGTGCTGACAGAGTACTAGATTTTGTCACTGAAAAGCAAGGGGTCCATCATAGTAATTTTTGGTGACTTTGTTATGAGTCATGTGCCTCTCTCTTGGTTTTCTGTCTATAAAACAAAGTTCAGGGTACTTGTTCTTCAAGACTGCTTGCCTCCTTCAACCTCAGTGCTTGTCCTTTTTCTCTCTTTCCTAGGGAGAGGACATTGGGATGAGGACAGCGTCGTCAGCTCACCTGATCCTGGCTCTGCCAGTGAATCAGGTGACCGGTACCGTTCTGAGCAATATCAGAGCAGTCCACATGAGCCCAGCAAAATTGAAACTCTAATAAGAGCCACCCAGCAAATGATTAAAGAGGAAGAAAACAGACTACAGCTGCGGAAAACAACCCCTGATCCATTGGTCTCCATTAATGGCACAGGGAAGAAGCATACTATATGTTTTGCAAACTACCCTCAGCAGCAATTGGCAGCAGATGTCTGCCGTGTCCCGACAGTTGCCAACACTCCCCCCTGTGAACACATCCAGCAGCGAGATGGGAAGATTATGAGCCCACATGAAAATGACTATGACAACAGCCCCACGACTCTGTCTAGGATAAGCAGCCCCAATTCTGATCGAATATCAAAATCTAGTTTGGTACTATCTAAAGATTACCTGCATTCAGATATGTCCCCTCATCAAACCCCAGGGGACCATCCATCAGCCTCTCCAAATTATTACAGCTCCCATAGGCAGTACTTTGATAAGCATGCTTACACGTTAACTGGCTATGCCCTGGAGCATCTATATGACACTGAAACCATTAGAAACTATTCACTAGGCTGTAATGGATCACATTTTGATGTGACTTCTCACTTAAGGATGCAGCAAGATCCAGCACAAGGCCACAAGGGAACATCTGTTATAATAACCAATGGAAGCTGACAATTTTTTTTAAAAGTTTTTGTGCTTTACAAAATAACCTTTGAGATCCAATTGGAAGATATTACATGTTTTCATGCCCTTGTCGTTACCAGCATTTGATATACCATAGTGCACTAGAAAGAATAACCTAAGGTCTGGGGGGATAAGTTAGTTAACACACATTACTTTTAGAAAACAAAAATGCACTGGTGTGCAGGGCTAGAGTGAATGGAGCTAAACTCAAAGTTGGTGCCATGCAAGATGAGAAGGATGGAAAAGGTCTAGACAGGGATTTCTTGGGGCAGACTAACAGAGCAATTCATGCACACTGTGTAAGAGGTGGTTGTTTGGAAATGCTGCCAAAGGCAGACCTTCTGAACTGCCTGTGTTCCACAGGCCCCAGCCAACAAAACTGCTATGCACTCTTTTTACACAGAAATTTGGAATGTGTTCCTTTGAAATGCACAGCAGCATATGTACTTCTGGTGATCTGTTTATTCCCTAACAGCCAAGTGTGTTATGCTGCTCCATGGTATAAAGTATCCAAGGTTAACCAATGCAAAATCAAAAAGGGGGAAAGAAGAGAGAACTCCTTGAATTGTTATTTCCTTGTGTATTCACATGCATAGCTATTTACATATGCTTGAGTTGGAGTCAAATGAGCAGTATCCTTATGATTAGTACAATCAAATATTCACTTCTACTGTGTTTAAAAGAAAGAGGGCCTTTCTCAGTGTAGTTTTGAGAAATGCACAGGGCTTGGTTTTGTTGATGTAGAGATGGGAGATTGTCCGCCAAGGTGGACAGGGGAGTGAAATGGAAGAAAATTGTCAGGATAACAAGAGAGAATAGGCTGGAACTAGGAGTGGTCCAAGATGCATACATTTAATCTTATGGTTATATATGCCATTTAGTTATAATTAAAAAAAACAAGGAAAAGTGGTTCTAAGTGTCTGAATAATTAATTAATTTGAAACACAGAAAGAAATCAATAAAATCATAGAATTTTTGCTGTAAAATACAAATGCAATTGCATAAATGTAAAATATGAGAGGCAAGAATAGCAAACTCTATATGGTGGTTTGTCCTACTTCTGATAAAGTTTTGGAGTAAATTAAGAAAGTAGAGTAAATTAAGAAAGTATAGGAAATTGTAACTACTCTGTCTGATAGACAGTAAAGTAATAGGTATGACTTTGAAAAAGAGATATGCATTCTTTTTTTGTTTGCAGCAAAAAATTAGTGAATATCAGAACATATTAGGGATGTAAAAATCAGTCATATGTACATAAAAAAAATACTTAGAGAAATCAGGGTTCTGAGAAATTCAATTGTATTAAGAATGCTGATATTATCAGGGCCTGTCATAAAGTTATAGAAGACATCAAAAGAGGCAGAGAAACTTTTTCGAATTTTTAATAATCTCATGAACAAAGAGACACTAATTGATTGGAAAAGAATAAATAAAAAACATATGCTAAAGAAAAAAAAAGTAAACCAGTGCATTTGAAGGAACAATTGATAGACCTGTCCATTTATATGAAGTCTCTAAGTTAACTGCAATGAGAGCAGGACCACCATTCCTTATTATACCACTGTGGAAGTAAGTGGACATGAGGTGGTTACTAAAATGAGATTAACACTAAATCTACCTTCATTTATAACATTAAGAAGCTTGACATACGGGACTGAGTCACCAGTGGGACTAAATATAAACCAGCATACTACAGGCAGGTTAAAAATACCTATTTTCAAATAAAACTAATCAGAAGCAAAAGCTAAATAATAACATTATAAACCACGTAAGTAGATATGTACTTGAAAGCAGAGGAAATTACCTCTCTTAACTTGGGATATTGTGTATAGTCCTGATCACTCCAAGGCAGATTGTGAATCTTGAATTGAGTAGTACCTTACTCCATAGGCAATCTTTGTTGACTGCAGCATGATCACTCCTGATGAAATGTACATTGAACACAAGGAAGAGCAACACAGTCTGGTCTTTATTATCTAAACCTCATAATAGAAAAGGTGGAGCAGAGCTCAGCAAAAGATAAAGAGACTGAAAGATCTAATAAAAACTTTAAATAAACTTGGTCTGTCATCTTTGTAACGGAAAAGAGTAAGAGGGAATGTCACTGGTGTGCACCAAGTTCTGCAAAGACTAGAGATAAATAATGGTCTAAAACCATTTGAAATAGCGGCAGCAATGAGAGACAGGGCATTGAATGTTAGCCAAGGCAAAATGAGAACAAAATGATTTGGCAAGAAGTTTATTTGACTAACTGCCAAATGAATAACAAAGGTCATAAAAAGAAGTGGCTAGAGATTTTCATTTGTTTGTTTGTTTTAAGATAAAAACAAGGCAAATAATTGAGGGGAACAAAAATATTGACAACTGCTAACTCAGAGGAATGGACCAAAACGGACTTCTTTGAGCTCAACGATTGTATATATTCCTAAAGCATAGGAATGAGAAAGTATTTTTGATAAATCTAATTCTGGATACATATTTATTTCACTTATTCCTATGAATAAACTTGTATTTGAAGTCTCATTGTACAGTATTAAAATGCAATTTGCAAAGCGAATTAGAGTAGAGGTACATGGTATCATATCCCTGCTAGTACATATAAAAATAAGTCTAATTATCAAAATAATTTTTTTATTACAGAACAGTTTCCTAGACCATTTGGATGAACAGAACTTTGTCAGCACCCGAGTTTCTTGGGATCACCAAGCACTCTTGTTATCAAGCTTTTAATCAGAAGGCAGTAGTGTTCTGCAGACCACCTGCAGTTCACCGGCTGTGGTCTAATGGCCACAGGTAGTCAGGAAATCAGCTTTGGCACTGTTGCATTTGCAGTCTGACAGGCACTTTTGAAAATCAGAAGACTTATAAAACAAACAGGCGCAATAAAAGATGCTTGCACTCTATGATTTCACCCAGGAAAAAGGCCAGCTTGCTATGCAATAAAAATCCCCCATTTTGATTTATCATAATCCCAAACTAAAGCTTCCCAAACTGTAGCTATTTGTCCCATTTTCAATAGTTCTAGCCCACTACAATGACAAGTGCAGCAAAAGACACTGTAATAAATGGAATATATCTGTAGAGTGGTCTGTACATGCAGACATGTTATGTTGCAAGCAAAGGCTCATTTCCCTCATGGGGTTCCAGCAACTAGCACTCCTTAGCATTTCAGTATGGTCTGCTGGAGGTAGATGCCTTTTACCAGCTGATTTGCCATCCTGCTTCTTCAAATAGGCGGGAATTTCTTTTTAATTGATGAAAGCATTGAATATTGTAAGCATAGACTCTGCATGCTACATGCTCCAGGAAGGCAAGTTTGCAATTTTAATTATAGCATATAATGTCACTGCAGCTCGTATTACATGTACTTTCAATATGGTATAAAGCTTACTTTTTTTCATTACATATTTATTTAATTCAAATTTTCATTTAGTATCCTTGAAGGATATAATCTTCTTTTTTTGTTTCTTCCTTTTCTAAATCAGATGAGGTATTTTGTGAAATTGAAAAATGCAAGGCATTTGTATTGAATACATTTCAAATGTATCACATTAGCTAAAAATTATCACTTTAAATAAGGCATATAGGTTATGTTTTGGAACAAAACCAGTATAAATTGCTGTGTTGCATTATTTCTCTATCATAATACTGGTTTGTTATTAGCATATCAAATTAATATTTTGTAGCTACTTCAAATGCAGACTGACCACAACATTTTCAAAGAATTTCTTACAGATGTCAATGAATGGTGCATTATGATTTTTATGCGTTATGATTTTGTTGTATCTTTTTTGTTTAAAGAAGTGAGACTCCCTCTCTTCTTTATTCAAGATTGTACCCCTGGGGCATGGAGTATGTAATTTTGGATAAATTTGCAAAGCAATTGTTAAATTAGAAAAAGAACCTTACTCAGCATTTTGTCCCATTGCCTCAAATGGCAATATTTGTGGAGTAAGGTACTACTTAATATGTGTGAGGGCAGAAAAGCTGATTTGTAAAGTGACAACAGGTTTGGGGTTTGTTTGTAGTTTGTTTTTTTTTTTTTAATCTCAAGATGTAAGTATGGAAACTAGAGAAGGTAATAGCTATAATGGCTGTGTTTCTATAATGGAGATTATTTATACATGCTTTGAAAAAATGAGTGCATCTCTTTAGACTGAGGAGCCCCAGAATTATTTCTTAAACAGCTTTTGTTGATGGGTCCACAATACTGCCACAGCTTACACAGAGAAATTCTGCTCTTTTGAACTCTATTAATTGCTCTTATCTGAGTCTCATTTTTATCTCTGAACATGCAGCATTTATTCATTAATGTCTCTAAGTATGTTAACCACCATATGTTCATTTATATTTACATCCTGAGTGAGATGGAAAAAAAATAAAAGGTCTTATAGTATTTATGGAAAAGGTGCAGCCACCCCAGAAAATCAGACTGTCAGTTCCAAAGGTCAGTTAACCTTTCAGTCAAGGAGCAAAGCTGTGGTTTCAGACCTTCGGCATACAAAGCTGTATATAATGGGTATTATGGCACACAGTTCCAGGATTAGACCTAGCTAGGTCTATTTTAAGGTGGCTATGACTGTCTGGCAAGAAAGGGATCCAGGCTCTGGTCTTTCCATGAGTTGCAAGTTTACTTAAAACACCTTAGGGTCTAAAGGCAGTACAGGCTTTGTTATTAGGAACAATGGTGGATGAACATGCTTTTCTGTAGGTATGCTGGATTAACTCCAGACACCTCCACAGTGTGGAGGTGAACCTATTTTTGATTTATTTGCGGTTAGTATTGATGGTTAAATATTTTGGCTGTAGGCACTGAGAAGCAAAAAACCTTTAAAAACCAACAAAATAACACAAACCAAAACCATAACAACCAAAAGAAACCCCTTAGTTTTTCTGTACCTTTTCAATTTGATGTTAGTAAAGCTTGCTGGAGATGTACCTGAGGGTTTAGCTGCTATTCTGAAGACTGAAAAACTGGTCTTCAGTTCAGATGGTGAGCACTAGTGTGACTCCAGTTCACATTTCCTTACAGTATTTAT